TATAAATGAATTCTAGGAAGTGGTAGGATTACGTTTAGCCTAGTGATGAAAGAGGAAGTCTCGAGGGTAATTTAACTTCATCTTTGCCACGAGTTTAGCCTTGATTAATAGGATTAGAGCCTTATCTTCCTCCTTAAACTTCTTATAATTTACCTTTTGCTTAAAAATAAACGTTAAATATTTTCTTTTTATTTATATTCTCTTTGTGTACGTTGTGTTGCCAGTCAATTCAAAAACCTTTATTATCTTATTTGTATAAAGGAGATTTAGCTTTTTCTCGACTTTAACGTTTTATGTGTTTTTATAAGTTTATAATATGACTGTGATAATATGATAATATGCATTACATTACAATTATTATATTTATTTTATAACTTAATATGTATTTTCCTACAGTCACCTGACAGAGTGGGCTTCCTTGTACTGATTGTAGTACGGACGGTTGCTAATTACTTCATTTACTTACTTTCGCCACAATTTTTTTTTTTGCAGCACTCCAGTAAACTTTAATGGATAGTATATTCTAACCAAAACTCAAAACAGTGAGCTTTTATTAGGCACGTAATCCGTGTAAGCTAAGAAATAGGTTGGCAACACCTAAATATACTACGACTATGATCAGCTGGTCCAGTATTTCCCATTTAGTTCAATGCTTGTGTTTAACCTGACTTAAAAACGTGTTGTATAGTGTTTGAAAGTTTAATTTGTTATGTGCTTTATAGTAAGCCTTTGCTGCACTCTCCACACTTTCCTGCTTACAACTTTCCACACTCGCTTGCGGCTCGTGCTCGTGCGTAAACGTTTTTTCTCATGTGTAACAAAGTGCCACTTCTCACACTAGATACACCAATAGCTATTTTATATTTAACAATTTACATACCCTTTTTTGTAGCTCAGTTTTCGAATTCCAGGCCTTTCGTATTAACATTGTTAATTATAATTTAATCATATGTCAGTTTCTAGGATATTATCTACTTAGTTCAACACACAAAAGCTTGTAAAATTTCTCAAATATTGTGTTGAGATGTGTGTTTGTGCTTTTTAAACGCTCATGTTAAAATATACAACGCATGATGTATGTAAACATTTTGGTTGAAACGTCTGAAACGTTAAATCTTCATTTCAGTCCCGCAATATCCCATTCTCGTTGAGGTTTGTTTAGGGGAAATTTAAACGCTTGTTGGTTTACAAAAAAAATTGGCAATTGTTTTGTTGGTTTACATTTTCCAATTTATCTCATTTACGTATCAATATTAAAGGAATGGTGAGTTATACCTAAGTAAGTAGCCAAGCTATGGACTATTTCAATCTATTACAAATTTTTATCAATTACAACAGCTATGATTCAATCATTTACAATACTTTGGAATACGTTTAATTGAAGGGAAAAGGACAACATAGAAGTAGCTTCTACGGCCAGAAGTTGTTTGTTTGGTCATTGTTTCACTGAGCACGTCTCAGCTTGTTAAAACTTTGTTACCTTATTGGATTACACTCAAGACAAAGAAGCGATACTGTCATTTTGAAGTGTAAAAGTTATGTTTTTCAGAAAGGGATATTGTGTACTTTTTTCTGTGGCATAATGTAGGAGTAAATTTTGGTTAAATAGACATTAACAATTTTTTGGTGAGGCTGTTTGACAAATTTTTATATTCGTTAAGCATAGTTGACAGTTGGTAGTTATCATCCTTTCTATATACAATCTTGACCATATCAAACACATAACTTATGTAATGCAGCGATTGTAATATAAATGTCTTTGTTTACAATAATTATGTAATATTAAGAAAATATAAGAAAACCATGCGTACATAATATGTGTTTTTTTTTTTACAATTCATTTAAAATAACTAGGTATAAACATTGATTCTGTTTCTCTTGAAGAATTTTTTGTTACGGGATTTGAAGAAGGTAATATTGAGCGTTTGAATGCAAGCATTTCGGCGTGAAGGATTGTTCCTAATTATGTGCTTTATAAAGTTGTGTAGCATTTCAATACAGGAAACCAACCAGACATTGACAGATTCCGTTATTGCTTTCTTAAAAGAAGAAAATTAAATTCGGATTATTCTAGGATAAAAGGAAACTTAATCAAAGGACGCTTCTGTCTACAATGTAATGGAGGTGGAACCTTATTTTATGCAACAGGATATTAATACTTCAATAAAATTGCGCCTTCAAGGCATTACAACATATTAGTTGTAAAAACAATAACAATTTAAGTTTTAATTCAATACTAAGTTAATGATTTCCATGATAATAAATTAACCGATCCATTAAACATGTAACGATAAGTATACATTTTGGATAGACGACATCATATTTCTTAGAAGCTGGGTAAACTATTGTTATTTCGTAATTTTAGGCTTACCTCTGTCACATTGCAAAGAAACATATCAATTGTAAATGTTTAAAATGTTTTCGTAATTTGGGTTACTTACGAAAGTCTAAAAAGTCATAAATACGTAGTCCAGGGGCTATCAGAATGAATATCTTTATTTTGTCACTGCAAAGTCATTAGTGTGTATACTTTTCATTGTAAGAGTGCATAACAGGAAATTCGCTTAAAATATATTAATTACCTTTTAATTGATGTACGTGATTATTACCTACTTCTTAACGAGGTTGTAGTAGAATAAATATGTTTTCTAATTAAATCAGTAAGAATTCTTTTTGAATTTATAGAAAAAAAACAAGTCAACACTATTTTTTTACCAATTTGGAATGAATGGGAAAATGGCTATTGGGAGCAATGACATGAACAATTATGAATACATATACTGACATAATATAATTAAAAAAATCATTGATATACTAGTTATTCACTCTGTACCAAATAAATCCATTTAAGTTAGTAGTTTGACTACATGAATGTATTTCTTGGAACAATGAATGAGCCTTGTTTATAACAAATAGTGACGTACCTTCACACTTGATTTGTCTTACATAAGTTTTTATCGACAATACGTAGTAACCTAAACATTGCTTTATATGTACTATACTTGTAATAACAAAATATACCGTAACTCTTTTGCAATACGTTTTAACCTGATTTTCTAAACAGAAAGAATTGAATAAAATTGTATGAGTAAAATGCTTAGGAATTGTAGTTAGAATTAGAAAGATGAAAATAAACATGGCCACGTTTTCGTCTTGTCGTTATACGTAGTCCAAGAGCACGTCTATGTCGTCCACCCTTCAGGCATTATAAATGTTGAACTATAAATCATTATAAATTGTAAATTTCACCTTACCTCATTACAAAATATAAACTCTAAGCCTTAATTTTAAAATGAGAAGAAAAGTTTTAATAATGAGCTGGAATCCTGTCAAGTGGTAAAATCCTTGTATTAAATAGGCCGGAGCTCAAAATGCAGACTTTAAAGTAAAATATGATAAAATCTGCATCAGAAAAATTGGAGGTATTAGTCTTGTTAATGGAGTGGTGAAATAAAAACTCGGTGAGAAGCGCCTAACCACTTAGACAGCGAGTGGCCAGCTGTTTACAGTACGATCCTCTCAGTAGTAATTAAATACCATTAGATTGCAAAAATACGTAAATAAGTAACATTTTAGCAGTACAAAACTGTACTCAGTTAAAACTACTGGATTTTAAATTTACAGTATTATTTAACTTGTTTTGAAAGAAAATTAAAATGGCGCAAAAGATTATTTTGCATATCTCTATTTACATATGGATGAATAACAATTATATTTTTTATTACTTGCCTAATAGATATTATTTTCACAAAGTTATTGATATTAGAGGAGCAAGTTTCGTCTTCTCGCTTCAAGAAAACAACCTAAAACAATAAATAAAACTTTGTCACCATTAGATTTGTGGTGACCGGGGGCGTAACCGGGATCGTGTTAAATAATAACAATACTTTGGTGAGAGGTAAAACAACTTTTAATAATTTTTCAAATAATCGTTGACTATGTTTCCATTATAAATTGAGTAACAAAATTAATGATACAAAGAGTAGCAAAATTAGTTGTAAAATGGATAATGAAATTATTACAGGCTCCTTTCACCTCCGGCGGATCTGGCGTCCGGTGGTTTCACCGGTAAGTGTGTCCCTAGGAGACAATTTAAGAATAAGAATAAGAATAATGTTTATTTTCCCAAATAGTTACAAATAGATACAATAAAACAAAATGACAGTTTTAAAAAATTCTTAAAGTAATTTCATAAAATATTTCAAAGTCTTTATTGTAATATTCTAATTATAAGTAAAAAAAATATATACTTCTAAAAACTAAGACAATTTATTATTAAGATAGTATTGCATTGAAAACATAATAAGCAATTTTTTTTTAAATCCATTGTTACATAATATTAGAATAACTTACTTGTTATTACACATTTACTATCTAAGTAAAGTAGACTATTATTAGGCTAAAGATAATATTTACAAAAGACTTCAAACAACTATCTTGGATTTGGTAAAATTTAGGGCCTCAGAGGCATTGCCTGTATGAGGTTCCTTATCATATTTGAGATAACACTATTTAGCTCATGGAACATCGGCATACGTTATGATAGAACTAGAGATAATTCCCTACACCTGATTAAACACTGATGGTAAGACTTACTAACAAGGTAGCAAAGTACTATACTGTGCAATAAACTATCTGTTTAAACTAGATGTGAATTACATTTAAAGTGCAGTCCAAAAAATTTTAATCTTCTAACGGAATTGGCCAAGGGTTTTTTTTTCTATTTAAGTTTCAATTTTCAGTAGAAAATCTATATTTTGTAGCGTCAAAAGCCATTTTTTGAGCCTACTATTGAATTCCTTTAAACGATGACAATTTTTTATTTCATTAGGCAATGTATTAAACATTCTCGGCGCTAAGAAATTGTAACTAAGAGTAAAAAAAGTAGTAAAAGGCCTGGGTACAGAGACATTGTTGGCATTCCTCAATCTGTTTCTATAACTATCTGTGTTTACTAAGTAATTACCACTTTGGTTGTAAAATAGTGGTCAGTATTCGACATGTCCAGTCACCTGTTTCCAGACATGCACTTTGTCGAGCAGTTTTGTGATAACACGGCCTCACGTGATTGGTCAGATTTTCAAATATTGAAGAGTGGGAGAGACGCTATGATATTTGTTACGACTAAATCCAGTTCCGCTTATGTCTTCACCGTGGTAACTCCCGTGTACTCGCAGTTAATATTGCATTACGCATTTCTTGCACGTGGTCTCTTTACCAGTGTTTTAGCGAATTTCCCTATAGGGAAGTAGCTATTACCGTAGGTCTCATGGTAAGACTTAGGCCCGGGACCGATTTACTTTTTCATTTTGATGTCCCCAGAGGTCAAAAACACCATTCGTTCAAATTTTTATATATGTATATATATATATATATACATATATATATATATATATATAGATTTATATATATATATATGTGTCCGTGAACACGATAACTTGAGTAATTTTTATCCGATTTTGATGAAATTTGGTTTGAAGGTGTAAGGCGGGATAAACTTGAATGAGTTCGCGATCCAGCATGATTGGACCATGGGAACAGGGTTTTATGGGGGGTTTTATGGGGTAAAAATTGGTTTTTCTCACTTTTGACCCTCAAAACACAAAATTTCCCAATTTTTCTCTAAACCTTCTTAAAGAGCTTAAAAAAACAAACAATTCAGTATATCAAAGTGTTTTTGTACGGTTATTGGTTACGGAGAAAACTAAAAAAATGGTAAATTTAAAATTCCCATGTTATTCTTATGGAGAATATTGTCAAATGTTGTAGTTTGCTTGTTTATTGATATATTTTGATCAAACTTGGCAAATTTATTTATTTTATAGTAAGCTATCAATATTTTACTAAAAACACACTTTATTAGTTTCCTTGTAGCAGCAAACCTAGGTACTCGTTAAACCTAATGTTATTTAAATAGATCAATTGAAAATCAATTCAGCCAAATGGAAATTCGCTTAGACGGCAGGTTTGCTGCGGCGGGGGTATTATAATTTACCCTCGTTCTCGCTTTATGCAGCGTCCGTCTGACAAAGTGTTATTTCATCCAGTTCACCGCATAATTCTTAATTTAAATACATCAAGACGCCAGTTTTTATAAGCTATTTCTCACTTTTCATGATAAATTTCATGTTATTTCAAGAAACATCAAGCTCCAGTTTAAAGTCTTAAATTATTTTTACTTTGCATTTTAATTTGCTATTTTTAAGATTTATTATTTTTGTGCAAGGCAAGAAGAGTGCCAAGTGTAAATATTTTTATTTTCATTTTTAATTCAAATATCACACGAATAAAGTGATCAAACCTCAAGAGGAAGTGATGTTTTATTTAATTTTAAATGCTAGGGAATAGCTTTTTTACTCTCTAATGCTTAACACAATTATCTACATCAACTCTGCACATCATCATCTCTACATACGACCAACATCCTCTCATCGTCCCCTACAGAAGGCGCCTTCTTCCCCCAGCAGTGAGGCCCTAACTCCCCTATGCTGCCATCTCTCTCATCGACAGGATCTTCACACCTCTACGACTGCACTTCTTCAGCTTCAATAACACCTACACTCAGTAAAATTGGAAATCAGGTACTCTCAGCGTTTCATTTTAATATATTTTATTCATGTCACAAGAGTGCTTTAAATGTTTGTTTTATTTACAGGACTTTCAGCTTTTAATATCTTTGAAAAATCCTAATTCTAGCATTTATGCTGTAGTAGTCAAGCGCTGTACAGTTAACATAGCCCGCACCTTGCGTCACTATTCAAAATTTAAGATGGTCTCTGCTCTTATAAATTGGAAGTACGCAAAGTACCGTTCAAATAGTTTTGATATTTTGTATACAAATAAGTGTTTCAAAGGTAGTATATTTAATTTCACAAACAATGGAAAGGATGGTTCTGTCTTAGATTTCTTTAATATCACTCTGATAAAGTTTTTTTGTATAACAAAGATTGGTTTGACATTTACATCACAGGCTGCTCCCCAAAAAGACAGAGCATATTCTATTCTGCTATGAACAGTGGAGAAATATATCATACGTAAAACATCCTCTGGAATTCCAAGATTGTTCAAGAAATAAAATAAAATATTCTGATCTTCTCTCGGTCCCATTTTATAATGCATTAAAATACTGCTAACCATAAAAGCTGATCTCATTCATATAATTTCATATAGTTAATGTTTGATTGGTTTAGCTTCATAAAGACTCAATTCCTTAAGTTATACATGTGTTATGGAAATTTTGATTATACAAAACAGTAGTGTTTTATTCCAGGGTGATCACTTTTTCACGACCAAAACTCCAAAGCAGAGACGGGCCTCAAGAAAGGACCGGGTGGCCCCTCCAGCGCCTCAGTTAACCTACAACTACGCCCAGCCTGGGGGATCTAGCGACTTTAACAAGGGGTTCAACAGACCTGCCGCCCCTAGCTACCAGCCACCCAGTCCATCTAAGAACTTTGTCAATCAACAGTACAACAATGACAGTGGCAACAACAACTATAGGTAGGTTACAATTTTTATAGAGTGTAAAAGTAAAATGGAAAATACCCCTAGTGTGGAATAGTTAGGGGGGAAATACTTGAAATAAAAGAAGAATGAAAATTACTCTCCATAATTTTCCAAATATTAATTTTAATTATTCTATGTCTCTTATCATAGCCTTCTCTAATTAATACAAGGCCGAGGGGTTGGTGTATGGCAATGTCACACCGGCCTGCCTGTTTTGGTTATAACAGTAGAAAACACATATAAACATTGTGTGCAGACGCACCATTATCATTTATTTTATTAGTGCAACAAAAGTTTCAGAGGGCTGGAGATGCGGCATTCCACTTTTGTCTTGCCAAGGCCTTGTAATAGAGGATGCTATGCTCTGAGGTTTTGTATTCATTTTCTCTGAGTTGAGAGAGATCTCCAATATAATGTTCTCTTTTCCAGAGCTTTTTGCAGGTCTTCAAACACAACAGAGGTTCTCTTGGGAGAATATTTGATAGCCACTGGTGATTTGAAACAAGTTCAAAAACACTCCCCTCTCCCCCCAAAATATATATTATTAGGGTAAAATTTTTATTTTAACTATAGGTAATATAAAAAATTACTCAAAAAGGCAATTGTGTTTTAGGGACAAATTGAAACCTTTTGGGGGAAGTCAGAATCCAATCCGGGAACTGGAGATGAAGTTTCAGCAAATAAACAACAACAAGTCTGACAACGAGGATGAAGCTCCGACATTTAATTTCCAGGTATTTTCCGATGTCTTTTTTACAAATATACAGTTTGCATCTAACAGATATTACAAAATGGGTTAAATTAAGTTTAAACCGTAACACACTTAACTCATACAATTACAAACTTTATTAAAAATAAGCTGTACCATTATTATCTCACTAGATTAATTAAAACTATGTTTAAATTCAAATTGTACCAATACTGTATATTTGTTGTTTATACTGTGCACAAGAAGTATTCAGTTTCTTTGTTTACAAGAGATTCAGACTAAACCATGACTAATTGATTTTGTGTGGTTGTTAGCTATGTTTTGCTTTTGACTAACTCAACTGAACAACTTCTCTTAGTGCTCTGGTATTAGTATTTAATGCATTAAATTAATATATGTCAGTCATAATATGAATTTTACTAATGAAACTTAATGTGAAAGTTTGTATTCAATTAATGCCATTGACGTGTCGAGTAAATGCATCTGACTTTTTGGTTGATAGATGAGGAAGGACTGTTTTTTTGTAAAATAATCATCAAGCAAGAACTTACTTATTAGGCAGCATGGTACTTTTATAGGGTTGACTGCCTAAATAGAAGGTAGAGATGATGTTTAGAAAGCAATTGCATGGCAGCACATAATTGTTATACCCTTTTTACTGTTTTTGCTTAGGTACGGTATATTTATTTTGACTTTTGGAAATATTTTCTTCGTGAGACATTAAAATTTAAAATTACTATTCAGTTGTAACTTTTCAGTTTATAGCCTTATTGCCATATTGACACCATTACAATTAACTATTGTTTGACAAGGAGCTGAGAAAAAAAACTGGAGACAATTTTACTACACTTCCTAGTTCCTCGTATGTAGTGAGACACAATATTTTTGGTTCTAAAATTTTTGTCTTAACAATTGAAAAGATAAACGTTTTGAGGTTCAACCAAGACCAAATTTTAATTCTACTTAAGATGTTGTACACAGGCATAAAATTAACTTTATCCATCACAGGCAATGCTGCGGAAGACCAACCACAACAGGGCGTCTCTGCGACGTTCGCCGGAGATGGAAATGGCTAACAGCCATGGGTACGGATCATTCCCTGTCATTCCAGAGCAACGGTCTGTCAGTCAGTCCAACAACAATGGTTATATGAACAACAACAACAACGTGGTATATAATAGCTCTGCAATGAGAAATAAGAACGCAGCACCAAAACCTTTCCTTCGCCAAGATTCCGGGGACTGTCGCAAAAACATGTCGCATCACTACAAGGAGTCAGTGAAGAAAGCAAGGTGTGATGAAGTCACTACGGAAATAGCCCCTGGGATAATCATTCAAGGACAAGTAGCTGAACTGTAATTTCATTTTAAAGTATTTAACAATAAATAGTTTTATTTATAACTTTGAGCGAGTGATTGGCAAGAAAGGCACTGATGTAATGATTTTTAAAGTTTGAAATATCTATTGATGGTTGAAGTATATAAATAAATTAAATAAATAATTACAAAACCTATGTTTTGTGTTTTTACTATCCTTGTTTTACCATTTAATTCAGTTTGTGTAGCTGTTCCCCTCCAATTGACAAATCGTTACCACTTTTTTGTAGTTGGTATATTTTGACATAGTGCAACAATCCAGATTTTAATAGCCATATCAGAGATATTGAATTCCCCAGAAGTAATTTTTACTGAGTCATAGGTCAGTGCTAATTCAAATAAAATGTTTCAATGTACCTTTTTAACAAGCTTGATTTTCAACTGATTAGTTTAGTTTATTCATTTTGTCTACAATCGCTTTATGGCGAGCTTCATTTGTTGACTATACCCTTTTTAATATTTCAGTTTTCTCCTAACCAAAATATTAGAACCACTAAATATATAAGCAAGTGCAAAGTGCACAAATTAATAAAAACTTTTGACAGTAACATTGTAACAAATTTTTCCCCATAATATAACCTATTTCACAGTTTCATAGTTCAATACTTTTAATAATCTTGTTACAGATTTAACAAAAAATAAACCCACACAAGTTTTAAGCAAGAAGTCCAATAAGCAAAGTCTAGTGGATACAATCTCCAGAAGTTGGGATACTTGTTTCTCTGTAACCAGATTGAGAATTTCTCTTAAATAAAAAAATGTTCTCATAGAGATTCTTTATCAGGGTTTCCATTAATAACAAATTCTGCATGATGAGTTTTTTGTTTTTGCACTTGGCAAGATGGTTTCATCTTGTACAGAAAAATAGCATTCTAAATAATCAATTTTTACATGTTATAAAATGATAAAATTTCATAGGCAAATAAATCAAACATAGATTTTCCTGTCATCAATCCATCTATCCTAATATAATAAGAATTTAATTGGTTTTTGTAAAAAACTATTAAGTTAAAGTTAGAAGGAATTCCCAGTAAAATCGTCAAAACCTTTGTTCTATCTTTAACTAAGAAAATTTAACTAATCAACTCGAACAATCCTGATTCAGGCATACCTTTAAATGTTATACATTTTTATTTTATGAATATTTTATGAAACTCTAAATGCAAATTTCTGTATTAAATGCAAACATTCGGTTTCATGACAAATTACTTCACCATGTATGTGATGAATGCTAATGGATGACAATAACTTTGCCTTTTGTATCTGTTCACCTGACCTGGTATGAACAATTACTCTCTGGGTACACCAGTTATTCCCAACAATAACTATGCTAATGCCACTGACTGCTGTATACATAAATTTGAATTGTAAATCCACAGAATGCTTTGACTATCCTATCAGTTGGTTTTTGGGAGATTTACGAAATGATTTAAATTGAATATTTTACTCTCTTCAATCTGATAAGGTTGTAGCCGTTGCTAAAAGTGAATTTTATTCCAAACTAAAAATGTTTTCTCTTCAAGAATTAAAGGAAATTTATTTGGAGTAAATAATTCATTCAATGAAAACTAAATTACTTTGTTATATCAAAATGAAAACCTTCTTTAAGCAATAACTATACATTTTTCTATGGTTTCGCATAGAAAAATGCTGAATTAACTTTTAAAGTAAAACATTCAGTAATGGCATTTGATAGGGATAGAATAAAAGTCTATAAACATTTAAATTTTAGGGAAATAACTATACCATATCAAACTTTTTAGTCTTTACTTTTATCAAACTTTAAATGCAACTACTTAACATATATTTAATGTCTAAATGTTAAATGTTATGTTAATTTCAGGAAACAATATTTTACTTAAAAATAACGTATACAACCAAATAATTTACAAACAAAAATTTTCAGGCCTATAAAAATCATTTTGTTAATTGTATTTATTATGGTGACACTTTTTACAGAACAAAAGTGTGGTAAATGGTGGGTCAGCTTGAAGTAGTGGTAGAGGCAGAACTTGCTGAGGATGTAGAGGATGAAGACACACTGAGGTTAGCAATGCTTGCAATGGCTGTTGCCAACTGATTAAAGAGGTTCTGAATATGGTTCAAGATCTGGACATACGCAACCAGGCCCTTGTACACGTTCTCATTGGTTTTGTCAGCGAATTGTAAAGCACCATTTTCTAACACCTGCAACAAAAAATGAACAGCAAATGTGTTGTATATTATAATAATGAGAAACAAATCGTGTAAAGCTCGGTTTTCCTATGTGCGGAGAGCGGAAAAGCGATTAACATGGCGTTCCGCTCCACTTCTAGGAAAACAGTAACGTTAAATTACCTAAGACAAGAGGAGTCCGCTCTCCGCGTTCCTCTCTCCGCACCTAGGAAATCCCAGCTTAAGATACCTTATGATTTTGAAATTAACAAGATTTTTGCTTTGCAAATAACAATTTTTATCATTCAAAAGTACAACTTGTCATCTTTAGGATGGGTCCTCATAAATATTAGTCTTGCAGAGCCACAAGTAGCTTATTGTGTTAGTTAAATTCTTACTTAGCACGTTTTTTTTTTAAGTACAAAACACAACTACTTTATTTGATGAATTGACATAATTCATTGAAATCAAGGACTTATCACAAGTGAAGTGGTTAATGTGACACAAAATTAAAATTTTTATGTCAAATTCGTTAACATGCATGTGAATACCAAGATCTAAAATGAAATGTAAAAGCTGACTTTTGAATGAACAACTTTGGCTCCTACTCCTACAGTCCCAACAGAACAGTCTCTCAAAGTCTACTTACCTTGACACCAGAGTCTAGGAGTTTTGAAGCTGTTTGCTCAGCTGATGAGATGGCAGCCACTAGTCTTCCTCCAATAGCATCCAATACTCTAGCGATACCTTGGGAGATTACATTAACCCCAACGGATCCAGCCAGCATAGTATCACCTGCTGTCTTTAGCCCTGGAATCAAAAGTGTGTTTGCAATAATTAAGAACTTTTCTATGGAGATTTTGTACCAAAAAGTTTTGCGTTTACTTTGTTATCAACAGATATGCAGTATTTAATATTGAGGTAATTTTTTATAATCTTGACATTACTGAAGACTTTTTCTATGGAGATTTTGCACCAAAAAGTTTTGCGTTTACTTCGTTACCAACAGATATGCAGTATTTAATATTGAGGTAAATTTCATTATCTTGACACTAATGAAGACTTTTGCTATGGAGATTTTGCACCAAACAAGCTTTGCGTTTACATCATTACTGATACCAACAGCTATGTAGTATTTTATATTGATGTAAATTTTCATAAGTTATAAGTATAAGAATAATTAATCCGTGTTACATAAATTAAGCACAGACATTTGAGTAAATTACAAACATTTGTACTAAGTGACTATTGTTCTAACCTGAAGCACCGATGTCTGCTCCTACAGAAATTCCTGATGCAGTGTAATCCCCCAGTTTACCAGCAAGGTGGATTCCAGAGTTCGCTGATGCCTCTACCACCTGACCGCCCGCCTGAACACCATGACCTGCCAGATTCATGAGGGACCCCAGCATCGACGACCCCGAGACTGCAGCGGACCCAGCCAGCTTCCCTCCACCCACGGCCGCCTGTCCGTAGAGAGTCTTCAACGCAGCTGCTAGAGCAGGATTTACATTCACTCCGTTGAATATAGCGTACAAGTGAGCCAGATTTGGAGCAGTGTCTACCCCGAGCTTGATCAAAGGGCTACCCAACCCTGTAGCACCGGTGTACATGTTTTGATGGACCAAAGCCAGATTCTTGGCGAAGTCTTGTGCAGCGATTTTGCCATAACTGGGCGTTTCTACAGCCGCGCTTGCGACCGTGGTGAGGACGAGACATGAAACAAGAACGGTGAAAGCCATGACTCTAAATGAGTGTGACATGTGATAAGCTTGTTTATAAAGATATTTGAACAGAAAGACCGTAACAATCTTAAAGTCATGGTTGTCATAAAACGTAGCATGTGAGACGAATTGGCACATTGAATTCATAAATGTATTTGTTTACAATACTCGTGTAAATATAAAGAAACAAATTTAGTAAGTGAAAATATGAGTTTTACAGAACTTTACGAATCTATATACTTAATTCAGTAAATCAGTTTTTCTGTTACATTCCTTTTCCAACCGTCATACTAAACTTATTTTACTGATTCAGTGTCATTTAAAATCTTATCATATGGCGGCCAGGGCGAATGGCAATTGAAAGGTTATTTTCTTTAGGGCTTTGCCCCCCTATTCAAATGTATTTTTGATAGGCTACCTTTTTAGTCAACTGTGGTCTGATTGAGGTAGGCAAATCAATAGTTAGCATATAGTTTAGATGCAAAATTAATAAATATATAGTAAATCAGTGAGATAGCCTATGTAGCAAAGTACAAAGGATCATTTTGGACAGTAACCAGTTAATTCAAACTCTATAGTAAATGAGTTAGTAGTAATATTCACCTAATTACTGTTCTAAACAAACAACATTTTGTAGAGTAAATGGATATTGCACTGGATTCATTTTGCATGGGAATCAAGTTTTAGGCCCTATTACCTGCACACCAAATAGCTATTTTGGGCCCCCTCGTATAACCTGTAAAAGTTAATTTTGGTACTCTCGAAGAAAGCAGTTTGCAAAAGTACGGTTTAAAGAATGCAAAATTTTCAACTTGAGTGCAAAAATTTCTATGTAAAGGATTGTTAGTTGTAAATGTAGTCACACAATGTAAACACTGCATAATATACCAGTGGAGTAACAAGGAAATCCAGGAAAACAACATGAATGGATTATCACCATGTGTATAAATAGTAAAAGGATTGGAACTATTTCCAAGATTAAATAGTTTTACACGATTACCTTATACAGTATTTTTACAGATTTTGAGTGAATTCCAAACTTAAAAAAACCCAAAACTGTGAAAACTGTTAAAAAACAAACAATACGGTAGCGGGATCATAAGCAAATTCCGAGTGTTTCTTAACAGAAGGAAATTTAATTTAGATTAGCTTGTGATAAAATGAAAACCTTATCAAAGGATGGCTCTATCTGCCATGTGATGGAGTTTAGCATTTCTGCCACAGGATATTAATACTTCAATTAAATAGAGCCTCATTTCGTCTAGCTAGACGTTTAATATTGTATGGTGCTTGAAATTATCAGGTTTATTGTATGATAATTTATTGTAATATTGCAGTGCAGTAATCAAATTTTTAATTTAGTAATTACTTTGGTTTATCCAGCATGTTTATTTACTGAACCTTACGGAAATTATTTTAAATAAAAGACTTGACGGTAGGAGATACAATTACTTGAAAACTTAATCATGTTCAGACTCATGTTTTGGCTTCTAACTCATGAGTTTGAATAATTAACAATATAGTATTAAAATAATAGGGTTTGACAATAAAATAATATTCATGCATTAAGCTACATATTATTTTATAAAGAAATGATGCTGAGAGACTTTTTTAGCGAATTTCCCATATAGGGAATAAGCTATTACCGTAGTACTCATGGTAAGACCTGGACGCGGGACCGATTTTTTTTTTTTGTTTTGAGGTCCCTAGAGGCCAAAAACACCATCCGTTCAAATTCATATATATATATATATATATATATATATATATATATATATGTGTCCGTCAGCACGATAACTCGAGCAAAAATGATCCGATTTGGATGAAATTTGGTACAAACATGTAAACGTACGTTTATTCGAACGAGTTCGCGATCCAGCATGATCGGACCATGGGAACAGGGGTTTACGGGGGGTTTTATGGGGTAAAAATAGGTTTTTCCTATTTTTGACCCAAAAAACATAAAATTTAGCAATTTCTTTCCAAACCATTTTGTAGAGCTTAAAAAAACAAATAATTTAGTATATTGAAGCGTTATTATGCGCCTAATAGTTACGGAGAAAATTCCAAAAAATTGTAAATTTAAAATTCCCATGTTATTCTTATGGAGAATAAGTAAACTGTTGTAGTTTGCTTGTTTGTGAACATATTTTGATCAAATTTGGAAAATGTTTTTATTTCTCACTACCTATTCACATTTTACAAAAAAAAAAGTTTTACCCTCCCTGATGCAGCAAACCTAAGTACTTGTTAAACTAATTCTATTTAAATCAAGAATAAATGTTATATTTTTAAGTAGACATTTCAGTGTAAATCCAATCAGTCAAATGGAAATTCGCTTAGTCTGCAGGTTTGCTGCGGCGGGGGTATTTAACCTATTTTTGTTTTTAATTTTTCTGAAAAAATCACAGATTAAACTTAAACTCAAATTGTAAATAATCAAAGATTCCCACGATTTTAAAATTTAATGAAACAAACCGTTTTATATAAGAAAAATTTCTTGACTAGGGCAATACAATTTTTAAATCCACACTCTGACAAAATACAGTTAAATTTAATCCACGGCCCTGTAAATTAATTAACACTGCACTAGTAGAACCTGTATGATTTCGCTGGAAAAATTAAATCATTGTTTTTCTTTTGTTGGCGAATCCATTCAGTTAATAGGAATACATAAATTCGCATGATCAGACTAACTATACTTTGGTATACTTTTTTTCTAGGACGCTAGGCACGAGCCTGGGATTGTTTTTCACATTACTTCAGGCTAGACCTAGGGGTTGCGGCATTATCACTTAGATAAAATCCATTGGTGACTTGGCGGGGATTGAACCCGGGACCTCACGGACTGAAGTCCCGCGCTCTAACCACTACGCCAGCTCGCTCCCATACTTTGGTATATTGTTAGTAGTGAATTTTAAAAAGATTTTTTGGAGATGGAAATTCATCCTTGAATTGTCTTTCACGATAACGTATTGTTTAGGATATTTAAAATTCACGCGAATATGGTAAAACAAAACATATACTTTAAACCAATTGTTTATCTATTAAATACGTTAAATTCATACGTATTTTAATAGAAAGTGTTTGTGAAACCGAAAGAAAGCTGAATAGTTTAAAATGTATTATTAAAAAGAAAGACCAAAATAAACAAGGCCAAGTTTTTGTCTTGTCCGCAAACTTTGGCTATAAGAAGAAAGTTTTTTAATCTCTCAACTGTCGCTCGAGAGTTGTCAGGTTGTCAGAAAAGTTCAACAACTTAAATATACATTTTAATTCATAGTTACCTTAAGGTAAAATTTTAACATAAATTTCTTTTAGTTTCTTTACGTCTTTTTAAAAATGAAGAATAGTTAAAATTATTTCTTTGACAGATTTTTTGCAAAGGAGGTCCAAGATGGCAGAACAACAAATAAATGATGCCAGTTTCCTTTTAATTTCCCCTTTTTGAAATAATTTGTTGAATGTAAAAATGAGAGTGGTTTTACTACTTAACTTAAATCTGTACACTTACTTCAATAAAAGTTTTCTCTGTAACGACCCTTTTTTACGATTGAGGCGTTATAATCTAGCGCACGAATAACGGTAATTAAAAAGTTAATTTCCTTCAGGACTTCACCCCCTGTTCTTTGGTTTATTTCTAAAGGCCTTTCCAAGGTTTGGGTGCTGCTGGTCAACTTGCTTCATACGGCTCCAAATGTGAACTATGATTTAACAAGTGATTGAATGATTGTGAATGATTATTGGTGTGTATGTGCAATGGATACATGTATTCATTGATGTGTGTCCATTAGCATGGTAACTCAAGCAGAAATCATTCGATTTTCATGAAATATGCAAGTAGTGGTGAACCCAGAAAGATACCCCACTTTAGACACGTTTTTCCCATGTTATTCTTATGGGGATTATTTTTGGCCACCAAATCTTAAATCCTGATCTTTGCCTAAATATCCCTATAAAATTGTCAAACCTTATTTCTTAGTTATTCCCCATAAATATATTCGATATTAAGCAAAAATAAAAAAAAACTAATTATTTCATTTATTGACCCATGCATGTGTATATGTATAGTAGTGTAAAAACGCTATTCACTGGAGGTGCATGAGGAGCAATCCCCAATTGTACCATAGCACCCTTTCATGTGTACAGGATATTGTGTATTTCACCTGTTTTGGTTTAAATATATATATTTCTATGTAATAACACTATTCATTGAACCAGGAGCAGGTGCAACCCACCAACTGTCCTATAGTATAGTAGTGTAAAAACGCTATTCACTGCAGCAGGATGAGGAGCAACCCTCAATTGTACCATAACACCCCACCATGTGTACACGATATTTTACTCCATGTTGTTGGTTTTAATATATATTTGATGGAGCATGAGCAACACTGTGTACTGTTTATAGTTTAGGATATTATAATCAGGTTGTCGGTGCCGTTTTTTGAGGTATGAGGTTTTTGGGCCAACTCCCCCCCTTACCCCTCACCACTCATCCCCTCACCACTACCCCATGCACAATTGCTAGTACATCTACCATTCCCCTTTCCAGTTGATATATTATATTTCTATTTCAAAATCATGTATGTGCGAACTCGGCTCATGGCGTGGGCGCGCTCCTGACTCATGGTTGTGTCTTGCCTCTAGTGGTGACGTGGTGAAAACGTCACTCACTTGGGCTTGCTCCTTGCTAGTCTTGGATCTGTTGAAGTAATTTTTACAAATTTTTAATTTCTAGCTGAAAATTTTTAAAATTTCCAAAATTTTGAAATTTTCGAAAAGTCTATAAATAGAAGTGACACAATTTTTTTTGTTATATATAAAAATGAGGCCCACCTGTCAACACTGCTCTGTGTCGCTCTCCACCAAAAGTAATATGATTCGTCACTACAAGGTAATTCATCAAATGAATGTATGTAAAGTTTGTAATTTAATCTGTGATAGTAACATTGCTCTAAAATCACATATATTACAAAGTCACAAGAGTTGTAGTTTTTGTAAGAAAAATATTGTTGGAC